GAGTGCTGGGATTACAGGTGTGCGCCATCACGCCTGGCCTCCTCCTTGTTTTTTTTTTAAACCAGAGTCTTCCTATGTAGTCCAGACTGGCTTTGAGCTCATTATGTAGCCCAGGCTGGCCTGAACTCATTGTCCTCCTGCCTTAGCCTCCCTAGTGCCGAGATTACAGGGTGCACCACCACACCCAGCTTTAGATGGACTTTGTTTTAAAATCAGGATTTGATCAAGCTAAAATGAAGTGTCAGCATCATAGAAGGAGTTTCTGGGATCTAAAAAGGAATGAGAACTGTTATCAAAATAATTTATAGTATTATTACAAGAATAAGTTTTGTTATACTATTAGGATTTTTGTGATCATGAATTTTAGCAAGTATTTTAATAAGTAGATGTTTCTTATAGGAATTTAAAGTATCGTTATGGAAAATGATTAAATAGAATAGTCGGGAGAGAAGCCAGGAATGCTCAAAAGTATTTGGTATGTTACCCGGATAGGTAGTGTCTGCCTGTATGTAGTCTCAGCACTGGGGAGACGGCAGTAGGAGGATTGCGGTGAGTTCAGGGCCAGCCTGAGCCACATAGTGAGACCCTGGCTCAAAACACACACACAGACACACGCACACACAAACAAAGGTGTCTGGTATACAAAGGTGTAGTATAGGTTTGGAATGTATTCAGTTGTCAACTCCCTTTGAACTCCCTTATATATCACCTTTCAACTCCCTTATATATCACCTTTTTTTTTTTTTTACGGTTTTTGTTTTGTTTTGTTTTGTTTTGTTTTTCTTCCGGTACCGGGAATCGAACTTACGACTTTGCGCTTGTCAGGCAGGCGCTGTGCCGCTGAGCTACATCCCCACCCCCTATATCACCTTAATATAATTTCTGTACTGCTTTGCGTGAGCTTTTTATACACACACACACACATGCTTTTATATAAGTTAAGATTAATTTTATATGGAATCTATAACAAATTATATGTACATTTTAACTTTAGATTTTAGGCCTGGGGAGATAGCTCAGCGGTACAAGCGCCTGCCTGGCAAGCACAAGGTCCTGAGTTTGATTCCCGGTTCCAAAAAAAAAAAAAGTCTGTAGTAACTTTAAATTTTAGAATAATTGCGGACATAGAAAAAATAATACAAAGTAATTCCATGTACTTTCCCTCACATTTCCCCAAATGGTCACATATTTTATGTTTCCTTTCTCCTTTCTATAACTTTTTTTCTGAGCCTTTTTTTTTTTTTTTTTTCTTTTTTTTGGTCTTTTTGAGACAGGGTCTCACTATGCAGTTCAGGCTGGCCTTGAGCTTCCTTTGTAGCTGAGACTGGTCTTTAACTTGCAACGATCCTCCTGCCTCAGCTTCCCGAGTGCTGGGATTACAGGTGTGTGCCACCACACCTGGCCCTGAGCCATTTTAAAGTAAGTTGCAGACCCAGTGCCTGTTTACTTAAGAGGCATAATTTCTGATGTAGCGAAATTATCATCATCTAGCATACCCTTTTCTTTTTCTTTTTTTGGTACTGGGAATCAAACTCAGGACCTTGGGCTTGCCAGGCAGGCACTTGTGCCACTGAGCTACATCCCCAGCCCTCATCTAGCGTATATCTGTGTTAATAACACTTTCTAAAAACTGGAGACCTGGGGGTGTGGCTCAGTGGTAGACCTCATGCTTAGTCTGTATATGAGCCGTGGGTTCAATCCCCAGCACCAAAAAAATACATACGTATTAGTCCAAGACCACATGTTACACCTAATTATCATGTCTCTTTAATCTCCTTCCATCTAGAATAGTTCTTAAGTCTTTCTGTGTCACTCATGTTTTTGCCCCTTAGAGACTGCAAGAGTACAAAGTGTATTTTATAGAAAAAACTTGACTTTTTTCCCCTTGTATTTTCTTACGAGTAGATGCAAGTTGCACATTGTGGGTAGGGTCTGTGGTATTCTTAGTGTGTTCCCGCTGCAGTGGATGTTAACTTTGATCTCTTAATTAAAATCATGTCTACTAAGTTGCTCCAAGAAAGTTATTCTTTTTCTTTTATGTAATTAATAAGTATCTTGTGGCAGGTACTTTGAAACTAGGGAAATACTGCATTTCTCATCACACTTTCACCCACTGATTTTTAGAGCCCTTGATTTCTGCCCGAAAAAATTATTACTGTGGCGGCTGCCAAGGTGATGATCAAATTTTTGAAATTTGTCATTGTATTGCAGGAACGATAATCTCTCAAGTTGCCAGCATATGTATGAATACTAAGTAAAAGGAAAGGACAAGATATTTTGGAGCCCTCATTAAAATAATAAACAAATAACAGGGCTGAAGGTTTTTTTTTTTTTTGTATTGGGTATCAAACTCAGTATCTTGCCCTTGCCAGGCAGGCACTTGTGCCACTGAGCTATATCCCTGGCCCACTAGGCGGGTATTTTAGTGGTAAAGCACTTGTCTAGCATTTGCAAGTCCCAAAGTGTGAGCCTCAGCTCTGCAAAAACCAGGGGAAAAATGAACAAACAAAGAAAACAAAAATAGTTTCTTTATAGTTCTTAATAGTCTTTATTATGTCAGGATCAAAGTGATTTTTCAAGAAATTGTAGTACACGATTGCGGGGGGTGTTCCTTGTGAATTTTCAGATAGCTAAGTTGGCATCCTACTGTGTTCTTTCTAGGATGTAAAGAACTTCCTAATTAGGTGTTCAGGGTTTTATCTTGATAGATCCCATGGAGTTTCTCAGAAGCTGGGTTTTGTTAAGTGCAGCCCCGTGATGTCTTTTAACATGTTTCTCTGTTCCCTGTAGTTCTTGAAAGTTGTTAGATTTAGATTCTTGATCAAGTTTCAGCTCTCTCTCCTTCTCTCCCTTTTAGCTTATGTTGGCAAGATTGCTTCTCCCTAGTGTCCTTCCATCAGGTGACGCTAAGGTCTCAGTGTGCCTGTCTTTGGTGTTAGGTGCTGGTAGTCGGCTCCTACCTCCTGACTTCGGTAGCAGTTTCCCAATGGTAACTTGGTAGAAGTAATTTCTACCAAATTTTAAAACATTTATAAGCACTTACTCTAGAGGGATATGTTCTTCCTTAAGTGTACTCTTAACACTAGTAATGCTAATCGTTTTGTATGTAAAATTAATGTCTTCTATGTTATATTTTATTCTTTCAATAAACTTGGTAATCTGTATCATTCTTTTTTTTATCCATCAGCTATAATACTCTTAAAAGTAAAACTAACAATCAACTATTTTAGTTATATTAGATCATAGGTCAGCAAACTAAGGTCTACAGGCTAAACCCCATCTGCCACTTTTTTTTTTTTTTTT